TCTTTGAATCTGACAAATGCATACAATTATACCATACAGATACATACAAAGCTGTTCTGAAAAATAAAAAAAATATTCTGAAATAATAACAAAGGGTATCATGACACCCAGACGACTAATATCTATGTAGCATGAGCTTTTGTGAATCACAATCTAGCTCATTAGATACACTGAAGATGCATTTGATGGAACAGACAGTGATCCACGTTAGCTTATACCACAGTATCTATTTTAATCTTAACGGTATTGCAAACTCTTTGATGTAACCAAAGGCTCACTAAACTCCTCCTTTCCACAAGAATAAACTAGAGAGGGGCAAATAAAGAATCTGTAATGACCACTAAAAAAAAGTTTCAAAACACCAGGTTGAGAGCAAACCTGCTATGATGATTATAGACAATATAACGACTCACAACATGAAAGGAGCTCTCAATTCAAATGTGTATGTGCTGATCTGATCTACTGATCTATTGATCTACTGTGCTGATCTACTAATGAGAAATTAGAGGAGAGAGAAAGAGGTAGGGAATGTCCTGAAAAGCCTGAAACTGACACTGCAAAAGAAGCAGGGTTCAGGATCAGATTACAAGATATATAATTCTCCTTGCAGAAGTGAAAAAAATGTGAATAATAGATGAATTCTCAAATGAATAAATACAACATGGATGATTAAGAATTATAGAAATTAAAATACTTTGGATAATAGTTGAACAAGTTACAAACCATTCTTTGGAAATTAATGGAAAGCTATACTTTTGAAAATGTAGCATGATTTAGATAGGGGAAAGAAAATAATATTGAAGCCAAAATGATTTGAATGCTTCAGACCTAAGAAACTATGGTATCTCCAGCCCTAATTAAATCTTGTCTACCTCCTCATTTTTAAATAACTCATCAGAAATTAGGTGCTTCATTAAAATCACACGTAATTATAGGATTGCCTGCACCCACTGATTTTTTTTCTGTAGCTTTAAAACCACAGTAGATCACAGTGGTAAAATTACTTTCTAAAGTTACAGATGATTACTGCATAGCTATTACCAGCCTGGAATGGTCTCGGCTTTAAAGCTATAAGGATTTAATGACAGAAAATGCACCCTTTTCAGTTACTGCTGCTTCCTGGAGAACACACAGAATGTAACATAAATATTTTGGAGGTGGTGAGACACCACAAATCATGATCACACCTCTTTTCTTCCAAACCAAATGATATTACCCATCAACCCTCCCTAATTTCAACCGGATTCATTTTTGTTAGTTAAATGTGTTTAGTCAAAGCTGTCAATTATTCATTCATATTGCTGACCACTTATCATAATATAATATAATATAATATAATATAATATAATATAATATAATATAATATAATATAATATAATATAATATAATATAATATAATATAATATAATATAATATAATATAATTAATACAATACTATACTATACTATACTATACTATACTATACTATACTATACTATACTATACTATACTATACTATAATATAATATAATATAATATAATATAATATAATTAATATAATATAATATAATATAATATAATATAATATAATATAATTAATACAATACTATACTATACTATACTATACTATACTATACTATACTATACTATACTATAATATAATATAATATAATATAATATAATATAATATAATATAATAAACTTATATTACTAAATTCACATCAATTTGTGGGGAATTCATTTCTTCAATAGTTTTGCTAATTGCTAAAAGCAGAAATTACCTGTAAGGAGAATCGTGCACATAAAAAAAATTCTGCCAATAAGGCTACCTATCCATTTTGTAAGTATCTATTTAAAAAGATATGAACAATAAATTCCCTCTCATATTCTTTCAAGTACTGTAGTAAATTTGGAAGACATTCACAGACTATCATGTTGAAAGTCACTAAGTAATCCTTAAAGATCAATAGGGTCATAACTTCTGTATTATTTTCAGGCAAAGATTACCCATGCTGCAGACATTTCTATTCCAGAACAAGGGAAGAAGCCAGACTGACATTACTGAGAGTATATAAATTATCCAAAAACACTGAGTAATCACACTACTGAATCACTGCATGATGACAATAGTACCAATTACGGTTGCAAATAGTCTATCTGATGTCAATCACTGGTATAAATTATGTTATTTTTGTCCTAATAATTGGCTAATAATATGGCTAATTAAGTTTTTATTAAATGGCTTCATTATTAAATGGCTTCATTATTACCAGAATATTTCTTATTACCATCTATGACATTTAATAATAGAAATCCTTTTCAGTATTCGACTATAATAGTACACGGTAGCTGTCAGTTAACAAGGGCAATTTCCATCACTAAATAACACAGTTGTAAAGTGCAATTTTTCATGACTGAACCACTTAGCAACAGCAGTTCTAGCACTTCTAGTTGCTGTAATGCTGTAATGTATGCAAATTTTTGTTGTAGGAAAAGGAAAGGCAGAAGGTGGGGATGGAGTGAAGAGAGGAATTAGGCTAGAGTTGTTATGTTCTCACACAAGAGGGTCCAGGTCCAACATCTCTGGAATTCCATTAAGGCTTAGTTAGCACCAATTAATGCTGATGATTAATAGACTAGATTCTTCTGCATAGGCAGAGCAATAAATCAACTTAACTGAAACTTAACACATGGTCCTGATTCTTCACACCTGACACAGTGGTGTCGTTAAGCACAATATCATGTGATTGCTATTTTTGATCCCTTGCTGGTTTCCCTATTAACTTTGCTTTGTGGAAGTCAGCAATGAAGGTCACAAATTACAATCATATGGCCCCAGGATGCTGCAATTTTCTAATTGTGAGTCAGTTGCCAAGTGCCCAGATCATGATCATGTGATCACAGGGATGCTATGATAACCAGAACTTTGAGGACCTGTCATAAGTATCACTCAATCAGTGTCATCATAACTTCAAATGATTACTGAACAAGGGGTCATTAAGCCAGGGTCACCTATAGTAATAATAATATAGAATTAAAGAAAATGGAAAATTGCCTGTTTTTTAAGAATGAATAATTTCTTATAGATTTCTTGGATAATAATTTCTTGTATTCTAGCTGCAGTTTTGATAGTACTGATCAACACAAATCAATAAGTGTTTTCAGGCTCACTATCACCTCAAGTAACTTCTTTCATGGAGAGGCAATGGGCCCAGAGCATTGTGTTGCAAGTTCATTTTATTTATGATTACAACCTGATGTTATTTGGAAAAAATTAAAATATGCTAAAATCTAGTAATCTCCCTGTCCATTTATAACAAATATTTATATATTTTTTAAAAATGTATTAAGTTAAAAACTAACACTGCTATGACTACCAGCTAGACTTTCATTCTTCATTTTTCTTATCCACAGTACCTGCTAGTTCTACAAATGTGGATCAAAATTATTTTTTCAAAGAAGGGAACAAAGACAAGACAACTGAAACTTGGCATTCTGCTAGCTGGATAAAAATGAAAAGAAAACAAAACATAACATACCCAAAGGTGCTTTTTCACAAGGCAACTGGACGTGTCTTCAGCTGAAGAAGCTTCTTAGATGAGAAGCAAAACATCTTCAAAGATAAGAAAGTCTAGTTGCCTTGTGAAAAAGCTCTTTTAGGATAACTATGACCTGGTTAACTGAGAATCTCCATAGACAAAACATAACACAGTGGGACAATTTGCTGTCACATTAATTTTAAGGACTGAAAAGAACACCAAGAGGTTATCAAGAATTTGGAAATAAATGGAAGAAATTGAAGGACTAATAAGGCTAGGGAGATTCCGAAGGGTAGGTGCTAAGAATGGCTAGGGAGAACAGAACTAGGCAGCATAGATGAGCATTAGTAAGGAATCTGGGAAAGCCTATGACAAATTAGTGATACAACCTTGAGTAGGCTGAATATATGTGTAATTTTAGGGATAATGGAGAGGATGGATGTATATGCTTTGGAGAGATTAGTTTTTTGGCACTGGTAATAAAAGATGACATTTCTTTATATATTGTGTATAGATGTTTAGTGTTGGAAATGTGAAGCATGTGGGTATTTTATAACATATATTTCAGGAAATTATAGCTTTTAATTGAAATAGTTTTCAACTAGAAAATTGTGGCTTCAAAACTGTTTGGTTTTGTAACCTCACTAGACTGCCTTTTTATATACTTGGTATTTTGCTGCACAGCAATAAATGTTCTCACTGCACTAAGCCAAAGTCATCTGTCTTCTGAACTAAATTAATATTCCTTTATTTCTTGAACAGTCTTTGTATGACTTTAACTTAAGCATTTGGGGCTGTCATTATGGGATTTTAATATCTATCTAACAATCCAATTCTTATTAAAGTACAGCTAATATTAGACAGTGCATAGAAAAAAAGGATAGATAAGAATTTGTATAGTTATTTATACTATTTGCAAAACCCTGTACTGTATATCAGTTGGGAGAGAAATGTCATGCTGTATGGAAGAAAAAAGAAGAAAGTTGTGCATCATTTTTTTCTATAATAGACTAAAACAGAGGGGAACAAGTGACTGCTCCTAGAAGTGATATCAATTTTTTTGTCCTCAGTGGTATCTCCAATCATATTGTCTGCCTACTGAAAGGAAAAATAATTGGAAGTTTTATAGAAAAAGACATGTTTCTAAATCAAAAGAAACAAAGACTTTAGAAAATGCAATAAACTATATTTCAGGAATATAGCACTATATAACTTCCTTATACGGCAGTATTCTTTTAAAGGGTTGAAGTATATTTCTCTACAGTATTAAATTTTAATACTGTTAAAAATTAAAAATTGTAATCCTATAATACTGTTAATAAATAAGAAGTAGAATGTTCATAGTATCATTGCCAGAAAACTCTGATCTATATGTAACCCCAAAATCATCTTCTTGATCAAGACTTCTTATTATAATTAAGTTATTGAATTATATAATATGAAATAAGTGTGGCAAAGAATAGGAGGTTATGTTAAAATTACCTTTATAAAATGAGTGGGTAAAGCTCTGTTCAGGTATTAACTTGGCAAGGAATCCATGGTTCAAACTTGGGTGTGGGATAGATGGTATAACCACAACTGTGAAGAAAATCATGGAGTCAATTGTGAGCCAGCTACTTATTGCCGGTAGTTTGGTCCACTGAGGATCCATGTCAGAAGTTTATTGAAACATGCAAACAAGGCACTAATAATTTATCGGGGAGAAATCTAGAAAAATAAGATACTTGCAAATAATACAACATACAAAGAAAAAACATTTACATGAAAAGACAGGTATACATAAATTAGACAGAAACATTTGGAATTTATTTAGGAAACAAAATACAAACAGAAAAATACATTATCTGTAGCACAGCCACAAATGATAGGCAAATTCTAAGGGAAATCCCCTAAAAAAGAAGCAATATAATTTTATTATTTACAAAAAAATTAATGCAGGAATAGTTAATTACTTAATCATGATTTGAATGAAGGAAATATACCATGTACTTTATTGTATAAAAATGGGAATCAGTAATTTTATTTTAAAATAAAAATAGTTCACAATGTAATAGAAACAACATGAAATTTAGTTAACTAAAATATGTTTGAAAATAAATAAGTGCAAAATCCTATATTACAATGTGTAGTGATTTGGCCACTGATTTTTAAACAACCTTATCTGAGAAGAAAGGATTAGATTTACATGGCATAGCCATACACATTTTTAAAATATGATTCTCACACAAATGTATTTTTTTTAATCCTATCAAAATTCTTCAAGCATTTAAGTCCAAAACATTTATTTTAATTAGGTGAACTGATGGTAATGTTATTTTATTTTAGTATCAGACTTTTCATGAATCAATGTTGTTATTTAATATGATAATCAATGTCTTAATAAGATATTTATAACACCCAAGAGCTAAGTTTTAAAAAACATATATACTGCTACAGATTTGATTTTCAAATCTTTGCCTTAATGATACTGAAATCATGGGAAGATTCGCTTTCCAGGGATATATGAAATGAAGACATTGTGCTTAATTGCTCTATTCTAGTTACTTTAAAAATGTCTTTTGGCACCAATTCTATTACTACCTACTTGGAAAGAAGACACATGAATACATAAGATTATATTGTAGAAAATATATAGCTATTCTCATTATATACAGTAGGTAGTTCTAACAAAAAGATTAAACATTTCGGGAACTGGACTTTGATAAGATTTCTCTTTTTTAAATTATGTTTAAATTTAAACAAATGGAAACTGATCCAAACTAATATTAGAATGCTCACTGTATTTCATTTCATTAGAATATACTTATTGCATCATTTGTGAATAGTCAATCCTGAAAAAGACATGTGCAAGGGAGCTATTTACAAAATATTAAAAGTCTACAAAGAAGGAGAAAGATGAGAAGCATGGAGGGATGCCAAAAGAAAAGGAAGGATTTGCCATCAATTTTGGCTCTCTTTCCAATGCTTGCAATATAAATAAAATATTCCAATGAGAGAATCTTTAAAGAGTCTCATCAAAAGCATTTCTGCTTCTAAAGAAAGGTTTCACAAGTAAGAATTCACACGCATATTAAGATATTGTCTTCCCAAAGGAATGCACATTAGAGAAAAGAAAGTTTTATGACTTTGCAGTATGACCCAGGGTAAAAGTTGGTTTCAATCCATCTCTCTTGAAACAAACAGCACCTAAATCATGTTCATCAAAACTGAATCAACAATCCTAGACAATTAGACTACTAAAAGCAAGTTTCTAGAAATACACTATTATACTAGAATTCCCAAACAAGTATCTTAGTAGCAAAGTTAGGACATGTAGACAGACATATTTTCTAGCAACAAAATTTCTGCTAGCTTTGCAGATCTCCAATAAGTAAATTTAATTCCATTTTTATTAAGAGATAACAATGCCTTCATGCCATGTACTGTATCTAAAATTTACCTAAATGTTCCCAATGTTTATAAAAACTTCAGTTCTGCCTAAATATAATACTATTCCCCTTTTGTGGATAATTAGATTTTTATCTATGCAAAATATATTTTTATTTCCTTTCATTGATTAGATGATAATTTCTAATGATTCCTGTACTGGCAACATGGAGTGATGGAAGTCAGTTGCCAAATGGCAAATACTATCATTCAAATAGTAGGAGTCTTTACAAGCTAGATGCATATAAGTAAAAATAGACCAGTATACTTTTATTTTATTAATATAAAATGTCTGTCCCTCTCTTCTAATACACATGTATCATACTGCATCGACAGTTGTATTATTGTTAATATTCAAATGACACCATATCCAAGTAAAATTATTTGCTCTAGTTTGCCATGACAGGGATTCTTTTTTCTTAGAGATGTTGATAAGTGAAGAAATTAAATATGGAATTTTGTGCAAGCAAAATATAGATTTTATTTTAATTTATTTATTAGTATTATTATGGTGTAAAATAGCCAGCCACTAAAGTGTAACAAAGTAATGGAATTATGATTTGAATTCAAATCACATGATGAACATAAAAAATGATTTTATGGAAAAAATGGAAAAGTAATTAGCTTGTGTCCTGCAATTAATTATATGCTTTGGAAGAAGAGTCTCGTATCTTAATCCCTAAGACCATCCTGTGCTAAAATAGCGAAAAAACAAGAAATATTTTCAAAGATTAATAGGCATTCTTTATTCTTCAGTTTCTACATTCAAACATCAAGTGTCCCAACAGTTCCTCAGCATTAACTGAAAAACAGCAGTACCTGTACTTGTTGGTGAATTTATTTCTTGCCTGATATTTCTACCTGCCTGGCTTCCAGACCGTGCAGTTTCTCGTTGTGGTTCAAGAATATCCCGGTATTTGGAAACCATTAAAACAGAAATGAAGTAAACCACAGCCAAAGCTAAAAATTGTGCCTGTTTGCTATCATCCTGTTGAAGAAAAGAAAAACATACAAACACACAAAATAAAATACTATTAAAATACACAATAAAGTTATCATTTCCTCTCTTAATCAATGCTATGGAGCAAATTACTAAAATTAAAAACAAACAAGCTGCCATATTGCAATTATTTAAACATTCCCTTGATTGGCCTTTAAATATATGAACATTTCTTTCACCTTCCCAATATGAATGTATAGCCTGTTACAGAGGGGTATGACTTAGTCTTCATAAATTATTATCTCAGAGGAAGTTAAGAAAGTTATGAGAACTACCACAAAGTTGTAAATAAAATTAAATATATCAAATATATCATGTACTTAACTAGAGATTCTCAAACCAGTTTGTGATTTCTCTCAGAGGGGAATTGGGACAAGGCTGAGTGACTTAGAAGGAGACCATAAAATGTTTTGAATAGTTAATCATGCCTATGCAGAAAAAACAGGAATCATGCTATTCAGTTTGGCCTTTCCTCACTACAATTAAAATAACTGTAAGTAGTTGTCACAGGCATGACTATATTTTATACTATAGAGTTATGTACCAATTTTGTAGGGAAGTTTTTGCAAATTGATTTTGTAGAAACTCAAAAAGTTATTTCTCTATCTGAAGTGTTGTTTGAAAAGGTTCTGCTGGCCAACTGTGCTAACACAATACTAAAGACTTTAAATTATTTAAAAAAAAAAAACCTGTGTCACTGAATAGTCATTTAAAGAGATTTCTCCCATCCTTCTCTACTATTTCATAGAATCGTAGAGTTAGGAGGGACCAGGAAAGACTTCTAGTCGAACCCTTTGGCAAAAGCAAGAGTCCTCATACCATCTTAGACAAATAGTTGTACAATCTTTTCTTGAAAAACTCCAGCAATGGAGCACCCACAAACTCCAGGAGACAGGCTATTTGTCACAAATCTTTCTATTTCCTGCTATTTCTATTTCCCACTATTGCAGAAAACCAAAGAATGTGTGTGTTGTTGCAATCAAATATAGTATAGTCATTTCAACTGGTTGTATTCTGTTCTGATTTCAGAGGCTGACTATCTTGGTTGATTAGTAAATCTTGCAAAGTAATCAGGAATCCACCTGATCCATCAGTGGCTTGTGTGGGCCATCTTAATTGGCATTTGATCCCTAAAAAGGTTAGGTATTATCAGTGATCTGTTCTTGACAACAAGTTAGTGCTAAATCTATCTGTAAATTACAATAATCTGTCCAACAAAAACTAAATTAAGTATATATCCTCCAATATGTTGGAATCAGATTATCAACTAACGTAAATCCAAAGTTATTTTAGAAATTCTACCCGCTCCAAATGACGCGTCTTGAGCTTCAATACTATATTTCTCCAGCTTACCCATTTTCGATGAAGCAAAAGTCATTTATAAGATTACCTTAATTAACTTAGAACTAAGGAGAAACTTCCTGACAGTTAGAACAATTAACCAATGGAACAACCTGCCTCCAGAAGCAGTGAATGCTTCAACACTGGAAGTTTTTAAGAAGAGACTGGACAGCCATTTGTCTGAAATGGTTTATGGTTCCCGCCTGAGCAGGGGGTTGGACTCAATGACCTACAAGGTCCCTTCCAACTTTATTATTATTATTATTATCATTATTATCATTATTATTATTATTATTATTATTATTATTATTATTATTATTATTATTATTATTATTTATTTATTTATTTATTTATTTATTTATTTATTTATTTATTATTATTTATTATTACCAGTAAGTAAAGAAGTTGGACAGAAATACACCAAACCTTTAAGCTGCATAAACGTTTAAGCTGAAATAATGAATTTCTACACTAGGCAAAGATAAATGTATAAGAATCTGTTCACCATTAATACACAAAGCACAGATTTTAAATACTTTCTTTTAAAGCTGCAGCATAATAATACTTACCACATCACGAAATACAACTGCTCGTAGACGATTAATATCAACATCTTGAAGAAGCCTATCTGGATCTTTAATTGGGGATAGGTTACCAGGAACATTTTCCAATGGAGTCTAAAAATGCAATAATTGCATAGTTTTAGCAAATTGTAGTCTTAGCTCTTGAAGTCTTAGCTCTTGTCACTAAACAGGTAATTTGTATTTTATTCATTTCAAAGTTATCATATGAAGCTGGTTTTAGATTTAAAATTTGGCACTCCAATGCAATTGGCTCTTACTAGAACAATGCTAAAATCAAGTTTATGTTGCCATCAGTTTATGTTTCAATTGGTTCCTATATGCCCATGTGCTGGTGAGAATGTTCCAATATTGTCATCCAACAGCAATAATATGAGTGTTATACTGGTTGCCCATTTTTTATGAGTGCAATTTAAGATGCAATTAATAACTTATTAAATCTTACATAGCATTGGACCTGGGAAGCTGGGAGACTGTCTGCCTCAGGCACACCTATAAAGATTCACTATTCTCCAGGAACTACAGCACGACAGACTCAGAAGCAAGCAATTGTTTGTTGGATCTCCCTTCTGCAGAAACACATATGCTCACTAGTAACGTTCAGATAGCTTGTGAAGACCTCAGGAATTGATAAAGTAGGTATGTAGAATATATAAGACATGTTATTAGGTCTTATGAGGGACCAATTGTCTTCAATCACTTCTGCCTGCCCAGTATGTTCCTGCATTTTCCTTATGAAATGTTGTAACCTTGCAGGACAAGGCTGCTGTTCTGACCTTTGGAACAGCATCCCCCACAGAAATGGACAACGGCCTCCTAGGTTTCTAGAAAGCTTTTAAAACCTGGCTTTGTCCCAAGCCTGGGATTAATGTATTATTGTTTGGGGGGGGGACTCTGTTTGGTTTGATTTGTGTCACTTTTAAGATCATTTTAGTCCAGAGCATATGGTTTTATGATTTATCTGTTTTTACAGATTTTTTGCTTTTTTTAAAGTTGCCCAGATTTCATTGGAGTTGGGTAGCTATAAAATTTTTAATAAATAAATAAGTGCTATAACTGATCTGGAATTATTTATGATTGACATTTATTTCGTCAATGATACTGTTAATAGCTTTTTAACCTCTTAGATCCACTTGTCTGAAGGAGTAAAGAATACTGATAATAAATGCAACTGTTCATAGCAAATCCAAATCCTGTCTCAAGATTATGAAATATATAAGAAAATAATTTTGGAATTGTCAAACTGTGAAGTTATCCCTATCTTTCTAATGTACTGGATAATAGTTTTTTTTCTCTTTTCCTTTTCACTTTTAATGGAATTCTTTTAATGTAATTTTAAAAGAAAATATTGTACCTTGTTGGTAGTAGTTGCACTTATACCCTGAAGAGTCTCTTGTGTTTTACTGCAGATTAGTGAAGATTTGTTTACTTTCTCCCTTTGTCTTTGTCGACATTCCAAACAATTTCTCACAGCAACACAACAAACTAAGTAATCAAAAGATATATATGCATATTAATTACAACTACTATGCATTAATAAAGCCATTAAAATAGCAATGAAATCAATAAATCAAAATGCAAATTCTATCAAAATGAATTATTATAGTATGTAGGATTGTTATGTTTGGATGTATTTATGAACAGATAAATTAAGGTTAGTATTAGATGTGTTTCTTAATCTTAATCTTGTGTATTTATATGTATCTGCTATTGCTGAACATTTATTTAACAGCAACAGAACAAAGGTTCCGTTTTAGGCCCAGTACTCTTCAATATCTTCATAAATGACTTAAGATGAGGGAATTGAAGGGGAACTCATTAAATTTTCAGATGACACCAAACTGACAGAAGTAGCCAACACACCAGAAGACAAACTCAGGATCCAAAAAGATCTTGACAAACTTGAACAATGGGCCCTATCCAACAAAATGAGTTTCAACGTGGAGAAAAGCAAAGTCTTACCGTTAGTCAGGAAAAACCAAAGGTACAAATACAGATTGGGTGAGACCTGGCTTAAAAACAGTAACTGTGAGAGGGACCTTGGAGTCCTATTGGACAATCACTTGACTATGAGCTAGCAGTGTGCAGCAGCAACCAAAAAAGCTAATACAATCCTGGGTTGTATAAATAGAGGCATAGAATCAAGATCACACAAAGTATTATTACCGCTTTATAAAACCCTAGTAAAACCACACCTGGAATACTGCAGCCAATTTTGGTCACCATATCACAAAAAAGATGTTGATAGTTTGGAAAAAAATCGATGATCAAAGGCCTGGAGACTAAAACATACGAAGAATGGCTACGGGACTTGGGTTTGGCTAGTCTACAGAAAAGAAGAAATAGGGAAGACATGATAGCAGTGTTCCAGTATCTGAGGGGCTGCCACAGGGCAGAGGGGGGCAGGTGATTCACCAAAGCACCAGAGGGAAGGTCTAGAAACAATGATTGGAAACTGATCGAAGAGAGAAGCAACCTGGAACTAAGGAGAAACTTCCTGACAGCGAGGACAATCAAACAATGGAACAGCTTATCCCCCAGAAATCGTGGGCACTCCAACACTGGAGATTTTAAAGAGGAGACTGGACATTAACCTGTCTGAGACGGTGTAAGTTCTTCTGCTTGAGCAGGGGGCTGGAGTAGAAGACCTCCAAGGTCCCTTCCAGCTCTATTCTATTCTAAATTACACAACGGAATATATTTAAGTATTTTTAATTTAAAATAGGAAGGAAGGGGGAAGAAATTTAGGACCAATATGTAAATTATTTTAGTGAGGGCCATGAATTTCATACGAAAGAAGAATGAGCAGGCAAGGTATAACTAAGATGGGGTTCATAAAATTAAAAAAAAAAGCAGAAAAAAATATTTCGGCATGTAAGTAAATGCATTATACAAAGCAGGTGACAAATTAGTGACTACAGAGGGTATGTAGCAATGACATACCTTTAATATACATTAGGTGTAAGGCTTAATTTTTTGGCAAATTAATAAAAACACATTGTAACAATTATACTTCTGTTTGTGATTTTGAGACGAACTGATGATCAAAGTATGTAATGTAGAACCCAGGCAAGATTTTTATATGTGGGAACTAAATGTTTTCAAAGGTATAATTATTTGGTCATCTGAGAACCACAGTGAATGATGCTATGATGATATCTGAAAAGGGAGTAAAGGGGAAAAGAAGGTTCAAGTTCTTTTTTGTTTTGGAAAAGAGATGTTATATTTTATGGTTAATCTTACATACCATATATAAGATATAACAGATGCCTAATGCATCTACTTATTTTATTTTTAGTAAGAAATGGAAGGGAAATGTCATGGTGTTATTTAGCATTTTACTCCAAATTAGGTGACACAATCCTGAAAGACCATAAGAGGCACAAAGAGGAACCAGAGCTAGAACTATCTGTAGGGGTCAAAAAAAATCACATTGGCAGCCACACCCATTTGACTGAAGCCTCATGATACATAAAGAGTGGAGGAGACACCTGGTTTGAGCAATGCCTATCTTTCATCTAACTATCAGGTAATCTGATATACATAAGGTAATGATTGAAGTTAAGAACTCTTAGATAAAATGAATTTTAAACTCCTTAAAGGCAATATGTTTATTAGGACAAATAATGTTTCAAGCTTTTGAATTTTCAAAAACAAACTTGTCTTACTCTCATAGCCAAGAAATGTTGAGAGTTTAAAACTGGGAACACAGTTGAGATTCTATCAGTTGCACCTTCAGTTGAATATACAAAATATACAAAAAAATCAAAACAATTGATTTCTGTCAACTGTTCAGATACAAGAGAACTACTGCACTCGTCCAGAGGACAAAGTTTTTGTGTATTGAACTGATGATACCAATACAAAATGCTCATTCTCTAGGATAAAACAAGGGATTAAAAACTAAGAGGAGACAGAAATCCAAAAATTGGACCCAATGGCTTCTATTTCAAATCAAATTAAAATATTCCTCCACAATTATTACTAGAATTAACTGCCCAGCTCAACTGATTAAAAAATCAACCTCAAAAAGAAAATGAACATGTCTTTAAAAGTTGTGTATTTTAAAAGGTAATACAAACTTGTTGGAATGTAGCTATTTTGTGGCCTGAGGTAGATGGAAAAAATGGAGTGTCTATAACATGAAAAATTTATAAATTTAAATAAATTTGTTAGAATTCTTGAATTTCTGAAGTTTCTTCTATATCCAAGTCAAGTTTTGAATAAGCTTTCCATTTCTCTTTCTAAGTCGTCTTTCCTCAAATCCTCAGGTGTATTTCTGAATCTCAGGTTATTTTTTGGTAAGTCTGTTTCACTTATTTGGGAAAGTAATTTAACTTTCAACTTATTTAATTTTGTCTTTTGGGTTGCCTGAACTGAAGGTAACATAATTCCCAGTGTCTTGCCTATAATATTTTTAATGCAAGTGTTTTACTCTTGTGTTTAATTTAATTAATTTGTTATATTTATCAATAAGGCAATCCTTAAAAGCATAATATTTACATTAGGCAAGCATATACAAAATTGACACTATTTCAGTTATATAACTGTTTACTGTTATAATGATACATTATATTTTGCTTCCTTTTTGTTTGTTTTTTCCCTTTTTAAAAAAATTTGTTATGCTTTCTTTTTTCTTGATAATGTATTTATATCCATGAGTACCATTGTGTTTTGCTCCTTTTTTCTGTTATTTTTTAAAAAGCAATAAAAATAAAAATTGAGCCTTAAAACAATCTAATTTTACTTCCAAATTCAACTCTAGGTAGTGGCCCATTACACAGACATAGAATTTCTTTAAAGAAGAAATAATCCAAATTACACTTTTATTTAGGTAATGGACAATGGAGCCACCCAAATAGAACTTTCCTGTTTTAATTAAAACTCACTTAATAATCCTTATGTCTTTTTCACTATGCATCTTTTTCTTTCTTCTTTTGGGATTTAGGAACAGATGCTTTTGTGTTCTAAGACAGCTTAATTTCTAAAACTGCTTATTTTTCTTCTTTTGAATGGTCAATAGGGTTGACCATTTTTTCTTATAATAGTCTTCTTATAATAGTTTTTAAAATGATGAACTGATTTATAAGCAGGATAAAATCAATCACAGATGGTGATGATGATGACTTTGCTTCCCTTATCTGAATTTATTTTCCTCTAATCAGCTTTGTTTAGTCTACACATTATTTGGTGTTATTATGTTTTCTTTTTTATGAATTTCATGAGATATTTAGAACCACAAGAGGGAGCTCTGACACAAGGAACCTCTATGTGAATTTGTAATTTGGAAGCAAATTTAAGATTTGGATTAGAAAAATGCTTAGACTTTTAATATAAAGAATGACAGTATTAAAACTTTATTTTAAGATTTTAAATCATGTTTAGATTTAAGATCTGCATTCTTTACACTTTTTGTCTCATACTGGATTATCTAGTGTTATAAATTATGATACCCAAGTATTACTGCATTTTAATGTATCTAATATCTTTATCTATCAAATTTATTCGGTCTTGTTTAATGAAAAGAAATTCTGTAAAAAAAAAACTATAAAAAAATGTGAAGACGACACACCAAAAAAAGAGGAAATGACAAAAATGGGTCCACATTTTTCAGTCAACAGATGTCCTAGTTATTTTATCGAAAAATAAACTCTTATTACAGATGAATTATACATAATTGAAGATAATGATTATGATTATGATTATGTATTAGCAGCTTGGTATTTATCTTAGCAATCACATATTTTTTTCCAAGATGCTTTGTCCCCAACTTGGTCCTTCAGGTCTTCCAAGGATGCAGCAAACACCACTGTAACCGAGTCCATCCACTGTTGTTGCTTCTCTTGTTTCTCTTCATTTACTTTTCCCAGCATTAATCTTCTCCAGAGAGCTAGGTCTTCACAAAGCATGTCCAAAGAAGGATAATCTGAGCCTGAATATTTGTGCTCTAGTAAAAACTCTGGGTTGATTTGTTCAATGATCATTTGTTTTCTTGGCTGTCCATACTATTCTTAGGAATCTTCTCCAACACCAAAGTCAAAAACATCAATAGTCTTTCTATCCTGTTTCTTCAAAGATATCGGTTCCCTAATACAGTATTGCTAAATTAACACAACTGACAGAAATTGAGGTATCAGCCATATTTTTCTGCTCTGGTTCTGAACTAACTTACTTAATAATGAATTCTTAGAAAACCTGACAGTTTGCAACTATTTTATAGAACTTCTGCTATAAAGATACTAAGGCTCCAGATTTTATATATTTTTATTTATGGCCAACACACCTTTGATAACTTGCATACTCCAGTGATAAATGAAAATGGTAATTTTAGATATAATACTTTAGAGCAGTATAATATGTATATCAATTGTTTGCTTAAAATATATTTAAAATGTATTTCTTGTTCAGCTGTATTATAATTATCAGAAGAAAAACAAATGATGGTATAAAACAGACTGTACAGATACTGACAATTGTTACTAATTGGGGGAATCTGTAATTGCTAGAACAAGATATTTCCCCTAAAGGTGAGGAAAAGCAGAAATAGCCTCAAAAGAAGCCAAACCCATTAACACATCACACGATTAAATGACAATGTTATTTTTTCATTAGAAATTTATCTGTGTTAGAATTCAAATATTAAACCAAAGGTCTCTCTATAATTAGGTATAGAGAGGTAACAGTAGGTTAAAAATCTTAATGTTCCATAAAATATTCTTTCTTACTCAAAATCAAGCAAGCTTCCACGTTTAAGGGTTTTTTCCTTTCCCCACACTAATACCTAGTTTAATTGGTCTATATGTAATTACCTAGTGCACTGAACTGTTCTATGGAAACTTACCAAGCCTTAGACACTGTCGCATTAAGCCTCCAGAAGACATATTTTTTTCAGCTTCAATTTCACTAAAATTTAGTGAACTGGCAAATACTAGCACATCAACCATAGCCATCAGCCGGCTGAGAAAAGTTACTGCTGTTTCCGCTGACATACCCTGAGTTACTTCTATATTCTCCAATTCCGTCTTGAAAAGAAAGGCATAACATTAGATTTCTAATGTGGCACACATGTGAATACATTATATGCATAAACATTTTTTTCATTTCTTCTCTGCATGTTGACTATGGTGAAACAGAGAATAAATAATGTAAATAGCAACAAATATGAAAAATTACCTTTTCATGCATACTATGTAATATAAAATCCCTAGAACAAAAGCTATTTATATGAACTAACTTCAATAAAGTAACCATATAAGTTAAACAGAATGGATTTTCAGTTTTCTGTTAAAGGAATACAAGTGAATAAGAAAATTGCATAAATTGGCTATACCTTTCTTCTCACTGGAAATTAAGAGCAAAATACCATGAACATGACATGTTATGTAGAACTAAGACTTTGATCAGAATGTAAAAAGCATTCTTGGCAATATGTACCCAAAAAAGTACAATTCATTTTTTACCTAGAATATCAAATAAAACAACAGATAGCTGTTTCTTTCATGAAAGTGTTCCAGTAGGCCACATCTAATTAATGTATGTCTGCGCACACAAATACACAGTTCATGCAACTGTTTTTAAAGATAATGTTATGGATGATGGGAGATAATGTTGCAAAGGAATTACTTGGCATTAATTCTAAGTAATTTTCCAAACATAGTTTTGTGAATTTTATTCATGTAACAGTTCTTTGAAAATTCAGTTTTTAAATATCTAACATTAGAGTGTCATGAACATTGAGTAAATATAATGCACTTAAATAAAGTATTATTTATGTCTTGTAATAATATACTAAAAACACTTTTAAAAACATTAACAATATTCATTTTTTCCATGTTTCAGAAGCTGCAGTACCTCTTTTAACAATGGTAAGCTATGAGAAACAATTTTGTAATCATTTCTGCAAAAAATTCTATTATTAATCTTGATATAAAACCACTATATACAGACATACTATATACAGTATAATGTATGTGTTCATGTGACTTGTGTGTGTGAGAGAGAGAAAGAAAAAAGAGAAATCTCAAATCACACCTTTCTTCTAATTTATTCAAATCCAGTACATACATACACACACACACACAAACATATATATATTTGTGTGTGTATGTATATATGTGTGTGTGTGTATGTATATATATGTGTGTGTGTGTGTGTATGTGTGTGTGTGTGTGTGTATGTGTATGTCTCCGATAAACTGAACTCCGGGATAAATATAAAAAACAAACTGTTTTATTACTAAGCACGACGCGATTAGGAGCAATACGGTTGACTAGGAGGGAGCGAGGGGAGGAGGGACCAATTACTCGCTCCATGAGCAGATCGTTGAAACAGCCAGCTACATAAACGGGCTAGCCAGCTTTTACTCTGACGATGTCGGCAGAGGACCGACGAAAGCTTAGTAATAAAACAGTTTGTTTTTTATATTTATCCTGGAGTTCAGTTTTTATATTTCTATATATACATACTCATACATATATGTTTAATAATTTAACTTAATAATTTAAAATGTATTTTAGTCTTCACTAATTAAAAACCAAAATAGAAAAATCTATTTTAATAGTGGAACACTGTGCAAACACTGAAACAGGACTCTTTCCTCATTAAAATAAAGAAAAAATAGTGAGTTGCTCTATGGAAAGCTTTCGTTACTCTCCATTAAACAATTCATTTGGTCAGAAGGTTTGGCATGTTAACTAGCATCTGCATAATTTTAGGAACAAGACCACAGAACAGTTTGTGGTTAGGTTCAGTATAAAAATACAGTTTTACACAGAACTTCTTCAATGCATTCCAGATAACAGAAGAATCAACGAAGTCCTTTACTGGGAATTTATGAACATAGTAAGGGCTAAGATATTTATTATGTTAAAAGCTTTTGTTGGCCACAAGAAACTTCATTAACTTAGACCCATGAAAGCAAAGCTATAATAAACCCTTTTGTTTTAAAGTATCATAAGTTTATTTGCTCTTTTGCTGCTAACCTCCTGAAGTTAAAGAGGTAGTATTGTTTATTCATATTAGAAAATATTATTCAGGTTGCACATGTTAATGTTATCAGTTGTAATTTGCAATTGATTTTATAAGAATTTTATCAATTATAACAGCATTTCACCTACAGTTTGAACTGTAACAAAGCAAAAATGTTATTACCATTCAAGGTGTTCTTTTGAGAGAGAAAAACTATTTAGCCTTTTTTAATGTTATTGTTGAATAACGTTAGAAAAGGTTAAAGCATTTTCTTTAGTTTTCTTCTTAATACTGTTGCAATTAAATAATTCCTTGTTTATTGAGCCAAGATCCTTGGTTCTTGTTGCCCATGAGGTAAGGCAGAGAGAACCGTTATATCATCATGCTCAAGTATCTCAAAGAAGATTAAGGAAGAAGCAAAAGAGAAATGCAAAATCAAGTCTGTTCTCTCTCTCTCTCATGTCATGCTGTATTTAAATAAAAATATTGGAAGTGATGCCCTCTGAATGTGGCTTTTTCTTTCATATAGTTAGATTATACAATCAAAACCCGTTGATAATATATCTACATTTTTTATCAAAAGAGGCTAAATAATTAAAAAATGAACACAGAAAAATTGTCTAATTCTAAAAACTCAAAACTGAAACTTGTAACAATAATACTAACCTTAGAACCCTGGACATGCAATAGAAAAGCAGACAACAGATCACAACAAAAAGAAAAAGAAATGTTACAGTCAAATGAAAATACAATGCAAAACAGAAAATAATATTTTAAAAATCAGGTATTAATTCACAATTTTAAAAGTCAACTTTTATAAACTTGTTTTTTAACTTTAACTTCTTGTATGGCATCACTATAGTTGATACAACTCAAATTAATAAGGAATTAGTACAACATTCATTAATAAAGCATCCATTTGATACATAACTATATATAAGGCTATTAATTAAAAACAGTGTATTTCTTAACATTTGAATATATATATTCACTACAACCAAATATTATATGATCCAGAAATAAGTCATTTGGCAAAAATCTTATAATCGGCTAACATTTCATTAGCTTTTATATAAAACAGTTCTGACTAGAAGTGAATAATATTAAGAACAATTTCTCAAATGGTGTTTTCTTTGGCTCAAAGAAACTCTAGCACAGCAGACCATTAGACATCAGTTATAATACTATGAAATATGCTCCTCAGATTAGCAGACAAAGCAACATAGTCATCTATCAATTTTACCAAATCAGCAGCTGTGTTTTCTCTGAATTGTGTTTATATTTTAAAACAAATTTTAAATCTAATGTATGTATGTATGTATTTATATTTTATATTTCTAAACTATCCATCTTCTTCAAAGAGGGGCTGAATGGTAATATAATAGCTAAATAAAAATATATAAACATTAATATTAAAATTAAATTAGGAATAACATTTTTAAAAGTATAGACTAATGACAATTAAATATTAAAAGGGTAAAAATCCTAAAATGATCATTTAATTTAGCTATTACAAGGTGGGGAGGCACTCATGGAGCAAGCCAGCCCCACATTCATGGTCCTCACACAAGGCCACACATCCCTTTGCAGAAGGCCAAGAGACTTGGGGCTTTCCTCACCACAGAATATTCCACAATGTGGGGACAGCAGCAGAGAAGGCTCTCTATCTAGATTCTGCCGGTCAAAATTCTTTAACTGATGGGAGCCTGACATATACCTTACCTGCCTGATTGAGTGAGACAATATGATGAGATGGAGTAAAGCTGGTTCTGTAGGTAACCTGCCCCTATGCCACATAGGGCTTTATAATTGATAACCAACACCTTGAATTGGATCCAGAAGCAAATTGGTACCCACTGTAGTTCACAAAGCAAAGGTATTGTATGTGTCCTTTTTCTGGGCCGCCAGTATGGCTCGTATGGCCATACTCTGCACTAGCTGAAGCTTCTGGATACTTTTCAGGGGTAGGCCCATGTACATCACATTGTAGTAATTCAGTCAGGAGATGACCAGGGAATGAATCTCCCTGTCCAGGAAAGGGCACAGTTGGCACACAATGTAAAGTTGGGCAAAGGGCCTCCTGGCCACGGCTGTTACTTGCTCATCAAGCAAGAGCTGTGAGTCCAAGAGCACTCCCAAGTTACATACCAGGTCTGGGCTGGTGCACTCTCATCCAAGACCAAAGATGATAAACTCCTGGGTACAGAGGGGCCCACCCATAGCCACTCAGTCTTACTGAGTTACAGTTGTTCCCCATCTAGGCCCCCCCTAGCCACCACCCACCATGAAAGGATGTCCATGCAACACTCATTTCACCTGGGATGAAGATATAACTAGGTATCATTACTGTATTGGTGATACCTCATCCCATGGAGACGTATGATCCCATCCAGAGGTTTCATATAGATGTTGAAAAGGAGTAGAGAGAGCACTGAGCCCTCTCTGTGCTCAGCGGAGGTGCCATGAGCAGGACTTCTCACTTCCTATTAACATCAATTGGGACTGGCCTCAGAGGAAAAAAGTGAATCAGCACCAAACTGTGCCATGTAATCCCAACTCTTCAAGTCAGCCCAGAGGAATGTCATGGTCAATGGTATCAAAAGCCACTGAAGGGTCAAAGAGAGACCTCTATTCCACTCCTTTCAGAGATCATCCATAAGTGTGACCAATCAAGTTTCAATCCTGTATCTAGATCTGAAATCTGACTAAAAAGGGTCCAGATATCTGTTTCCTCCCTGGAGTTGTAAGGCCACCACTTCCTCGAACATTTTTTCTACAAAGGACAGGTGGGAGACTGGACAAAAATTGTCTAACAAGGAAAGATCCAGTAATGGTTTCTTGAGTAGAGCACACCAGCACCTCTTTAAAAGAAGCTGGAATCACCCCCTCCGACAAAGATAAATTCACCAACAGATGGATCCACCCACATGATACCATTCGGGTGGCCTTAACCAGTTAGGAGGAACAAGAATCTAATTCTCAGGTGGTGACATTGCATTAACCAGTTAAGAAGAGCAAAGGATCTAATTCTCAGATGGTGACATTTGCATTCTGCAGGAACCTATCCACTTCCTCATGTCCAACAGAATCAAAGCAGTCCCAGATAACTGGAGAGGTCTATTCCCTGAGCATCTTCACAAGACTTCCACGCTTGGAATTCAATTGTGAAGGAATATAAGCGATTTTATCTTCTAAATGCCTTGAAAATTCCTCTACACAGCCCTGGAGATTGGTCTCCGGATGACCCTTTCCAAGGAAGGTCTATGTGACCTGAAGCAGTACTGTGGGGCAGCATTCTGAAGATGTAATGTATAACTTGTTCTGCATCATCAATGGGATCTCAGATTTGATAGTCAAATCACTTTTGAAACACAAGGATTTTTTTTTAGAATTTCAAATTATATTTTGGTGAGGAATACTGGCCTTTTCTAAAAGAAAGCAAAATATATTTCATTGGGATAAAATAAACAATTATATTTTTAAATGATATTAATAGCATTTTTTCAATGTTTTACTCTCATTTCAAAATTTAAAGATACTACAAAAGTATTTTACTTCATGTTAAACAAAATCTTCTTTCTGCCTGTTTAGCAGAATATGCTATTTTATGACTAACTTTTAAAGATACAATAGCTCTTACGCCAAGTCTGCATTTAAAGCTGTACTAGCTTTACTACAAATAGGGATTTGGAAAGCTCTACTAGATAAGAATAAGATTATGATATAGAAACAGAGCAATGTAATTTGGGAAGTTTATAACCATTTATTTTTGCAGTGCACCTAGCTAAAACACCTATATACATAAATAATAAATTATTATTCTGAAATAATTTTTGTATACAAATTTGATAAAGGCATAAAACTTACATCCTGTAGATTAAAAAAATGAAAAATGTGAATATTTTCTTCTTATTTAGAAAATCATGCTCAAAACAAGTGTTACTAATATACTAAGTGCAATTTGCAACATATCCATTAGAGGGAAATATTGTACTTACAGTTGGGGATGTTGCTGCAGACAACAGTGGCAGAATTCCTCCACATGCAATAATAATATTGTCTACCATTTGAGAGATGAGGTGGATTGTATTATGTACAAAAATAATATTTTCATTACTATTGACAAAGTCCATAACTGACTTTGTGGAATGACTATTAAAAGAAAAGAAAAAAAGATTATAAGTAAAACTGTAAAGGTGGTTGCTACTGCAAAGATCAAAATCAACTTGTGGACAGAAATAAATCAAATTGAAAAGCAATAAACAACACATGCACACACCCATTTATAACATTTATCTCCTTTGTGATATCAAGTTACAAATATATATTTAACAAGTCTCATGAGTTGACCAAAAACCATTTTAGAGAGGGAACTGAGATATAAACTGCTATTATCCAATCTAGATGAAGAACTGCTGTTATAACATGGCTTGCAACTCAAATAGCTGGTAAAAATATGTTTAGCTAAAACATGGAAGACCTGATCAAGAAAGCTTTAAACTGAAATGCTTTGGAGGTTGGAGACAAAATCCCTGAAGATCCTATGCATTAAAGAACAGTGTGAGAATGTTGCTGTAAAGGAGTCCATGAAAGAGATTCTAAGATAAATCAAAAAGAAAAACAGGCTTGCAAAGTTCAAAGCTGCCAAGCTTTTCAAGGTAGGCTACATCAAGAAACAGACATTGCAAGAAATACTAGAATTCTATTTCATTGTTCTTGGATATAATAACAAAATCTTAAAAGCCTGCAGTTCCCATCTGCCCCCACTTATACCTCGCAGAATAAACATAGGTTTATTATGACTCTCTTTCTCACACTCCTCCTTTCCCAGGGTTAAAGGAGGGAAATGGCTGAAAGAAACCTGGTAGTTTTGCAAGTACAGCCTTGGCCCACTGACAGATATGACTAGATGAGGCATAAAGCAAGAGATTTCCCTTTCCTTTGTTGAAAGTTGGAGAACAGCTCCCAAGGTCAGATCCAAGTTTGTTTGCACAATAAAAGATTGGAGAGATTTTCAGCTTTTGAAAACCTGCATACTCTTGAACAGACCATCTATTTTATTTTTTTAGAAGTTAAGATCATGGTCTTATATACTCAATTCTATATAAATAGCAAAGCACAGAAAACACTGGACATCATTCACATTTCTAGATGTCTGTTTTTGTAGGCTCCATCTGTATCCTGATTGGAGAGGTCCAGTAACCCAAACAGTCCAACTGGGAAGATCAAATCCACATTTTCCAATTTAGCAAAAAGTTAAGTGTTCAGAAAAGACATTTCTGGTATTACTTGTGCAAAGCGGAACTTCTGGGAAAAAATCAGTATATCATCTAAGTATATCAGTACATAATTGTCCAAAACATCAAAAAAAATCACAAATCTGAAGAAGATTGATGGACAATTAATCAGTCCAAATGGGCATTACTGTGTATTCAAATTTGCTATACATATAAAAAGCTGTTAAATATTCATGACCCTTTTTCATTGTGATCAAATTATAGCACCTGTCAAATCCCATTTGGCAAATATGCATGCTTTCCTAAGGTAGTTCACCAATTCTGAAGAGACATTGGGTAATGATTTCTAATGGTCATAGATTTAAAAGAGTGATAAACAAAAGGATAGGATATGTGTAAACAGTACTACTAAGACTTTTGATAGGGAAAGAAATTGCTCCCCATGGACGTTTCATCCAATTTATACCCAACACTAGATATGAATATAACCTATGATGCAGAATGACAAAAATTCCATATGTTAATTTATTTTCATCTGTAGAGGAATTGTACATTGCAAAATGGGAGCAGCTCAAAGCAATTGCCTGGCAATTGTTTCTAGAAGCTTGACTTTCTCTAGTAACTCTGAATTTCGTTGTTGCACCAGAGTCTGGAGGAGTGGACAGCTGTATTTCTACACCAGGGAGTTATAAAAAATAATAATAATAATAAAGAGCACCTGCTTTTTCTCAGTTCTGTGACTTCTTCCTAATTGTCTGAGGGCTTATATGCCAAGCTTATGGAAGTGAAGCCCGATAGATTTCCTGAAGATGAAGTTCTGGAGAGATTCAAACACTAGCTTGCTGTGTGGCCTGCAATTCCATGCTGCAGCAGTGTGTAACTGGCTCAGATGTCTGTACTTTAATCTTATATATCTTAGCTAGGTATCCTAAGGTTCTACAGTAGAAATCACACATTCTCTTTTTCTCTGCACCTCTCCAGAACTGGAGGCCAAGGAGGCCACAAGGAAGGGTGACTGAGTCAAAGAAAGGTAGTGAAATTTCCCCAGATAAATAAGAAAGCTACAGAGGAAGAGATTGGAGTGAAGAGAGGATGTAAAATTATCTCCTCTATGCTTCAATTTATTCAGTTACCTCTCAATTAATACACTATTATTACTTTGTTTAAAACATTTATATAGCCATGCATCTTATAACCAACAATGTTGAAACAATTCTTCCAAATTTTCTGGTGTGTATCAGTTCATCAGCAAGTTTCCTGGTCAATCCAAGCAACTTCATTCCTGTCCACATCTCTGGCATACAGCTGAAAATCAACTACATATTCACAAACTCAGTTATGTTTAGGCTCACCTTGCAACTCTTCCAATTTGCTAGTGATATCCTGGATGAGTTATCAAAAGCAGCTCTAAAACTTTACATGAGGATTACAATTATCCAATAGAAGATCATTATCCTCAATGAGAGACACAATCTCTTTGCAACCCCTTTTTTCAGTAGATTAAGAACAAAGACAATCTTAGAGGGCTCTGTGACAAATTCCCCTGGCCAACTCTCCATAAAAATTAACATTGAGTTGTGAAAGACAGATACTGATCCTGAGTAACTCTCCATTTCGCATTTGTTTTCCAATAATTTCCATGAAAATGAAGCCGCAAGTTGTAGGACAGCTTCTGGTTGAAGCAAGTTTTTTTCCCAATTGCTATGTTAGTTGCAGCATGGCACTGTGCAAGTCCAAGATGTGATTTCAACTTACTGTTGGTTGGAATAATGTCTTGACAACTTGTTCAGATCCTGCCCAAGGATCTGTTGCCATTTTCAAGTTCTAAAAGCAAAATTTGATGCCTCTGTGTTGAGAAATGTGTGAGGCTTTCAAGATTGATATCAGTCCTTTGAGGTAGGCCAAACCAAGAAAAGGGATTCCAGGAATTCAACTTTATGGCTGTAGTATATAATAACAGAATTTTGAAAGCCAAGTTTCTCTCTCCCATTTTATATTAAACAAAATCAAGTTGGGGTATTCTGATTTGAGTTTCATTCTCAAAAATGCTTCAATCTTTGGACTGTTTAGGCTTGTTCCTTTCTCCTCTCCTTAAAAGCTCTTTCATTTCTCCATCAAAGTAATATCTAAATCATTTTCAGCAATGCATAGCTTAAAAACAAACATTCAAACTACAATCAAAAACATAAAAAAGATGCTCAGCATGGAAACAGCAAACTATAACAAACCAACACACACTGATCCCAGAGACTGGGGAAAAAGTTCTTAAAGGCTTTACAGATGACAACCAATACCTTGAATTGCACCCAAAAGCCTACTATTAACCAGTGCAGTTCACATATTACGGAATTCCCCTAACTGCTCATAGCTTCCAGAAAACAATTCAAGACTTTCAGGGCATCTCTGTTAGGACTATGATAGCAAAATGCAGGTGAATGCAGTTGATGGCACCTCAGTCAATACAGTTCTCATAGATTTTAAAAAGCATGAGGACCAAGTCCTGCAGTACCTGGAGTACTGCAGTACTCTCATTTCATGGCTACCAACTGAATTAGATAGGAATGGAACTACTAAAAATATTCCCTCTGCCCTTGCTGGCTGATTAGGATATTGTGATCAATAGTACTGAATGGTACACTCCTCCTATTCAGTTTCCAATAGAATTTATCTGCTATACAATGTTGTTTCCATCTCATGATGAGGCCTGAATCTTGATAATCAATTTCTTTAGGATACTTATTTCCACAACCCTCCTTCCAGAAAGAAGATTGGAGGGTAGCAGAAATCTCATGCGGCAGAATGGAGAGACTGATTTTCGAGAAAGTTACAGCACTGACTCTATCAAGGCAGTTAACATTAACCATACCGCAGAGTCCAGCTGCACTAATCATCCAAATGAGCCAGATTGGATATGAATCTAGCCTACAGGTATCAAAGCTTATACCACAGAATAATCTATCCATATTGTCAAGTTCCACAATTTAAAAGAAAATCATAGTTCACTAGGGAAGACTTTGCCTCACTTTTCTCATGTAGTTCTGCCCAACTGGCATCTAGACCTCAGCAAGTAGACTTAAAATGCTAAAAAGAAACCCATAAAGATATTAAAGAAACCTGTATGTGTTTTATCACACTAATTCTTTGTTAGAAAAATTAATGGTCTCTTACCTTCTCCAAACATGCACATCAGTTTCTAAAGCAAATAGTAGATCAGTCAGTAATCTCTGGTGCATGGGGGACCATTTAAATTCTGGAATACGAAACATTGTTGTTCGTGGACCTGGGCTGAATTGTCGCCTTTGTTCTTCCGTCATTGGCATTCCTCGAAATCCCAAGTCAACACGCAAGTCTCTATCCTGTTGTGTAATAGAACGACCTTGCACAGCCTACATAAGCAGTAAATATTTGTTTTCATTTAAAATATGCAATGCAAAATCTGGCACAAAGTGCAATTCAAGTCTTATGGGGGCAGAGATATTTAATTAAGCACATACAGCAAAATTAAGAAGCCTTATTAAGGAAACTTTGTCCTACTTCCACATGTCTTATTAGGTAAAATTGTTTAAATTTGCATGTTTTAATACCATTCCATTTGAAACAAAGTACAAAGGAGTTATGAATTACATGACAGTATAACTGAAAATACCTATTTTGTTTCACCAGCATGTGAAAAAGCTTTAAAGTAAAATGAAAAAAAAATGGTAACGAATAATATAAATTTTATTTGTCACAGAAACAATTCAAATGTGAGATGAAAGATTAATTTATTAGCATGATTACATTGTTCTCAGATAGAAGTAATTAATTCAGTTAATTGTCTGAAGGATTTTACTGGCTATATTAGGTGATTTTTTTTAATTTCAGAGCTATTTATGTTCCCACATCCCAAGACTTCAGTTGGGCCCAATACTACTAATAACCAGTACAGCAATTGAAAGATAACATTGGCCTGCAATAATTAATATTCTCCTGCTAGTAATCTGGCTGGGATAGGCAGAAGTGGGTGTTTGATAGAGTTACAGATATTGTCACAGGATATAAGCTGTTCCAAGTAAAGCTGCCTTTTGCAATTGACTGATGGTGAATCTGTCAATGCCAATGGGTGTTCAATCCAAGAATATAGTTTTTCAATATATCTACTCTTTAACAGTCTGGATTATATTTTAAAAGCATGTTTTAATTCTGTTTTAAAATCACAAGGTTCTGTTCACAGTAAATCTCTTCATACCTTCAAACTCTTTTGGCAAGCAGTTTTGTGTTTTATTCCAGTTGACATTCATGGTTGCTCTATGACAACACAGTCAAATATGCAAGACAATAAAATTGATACTACTACCACTATAATATCATGGAATCAAAATGAAGAATAAAAGTCAGGTGTCATTAAGTTCACCACAAAATTGATCTTCATTCATCAGTCATTATTATTACTTGAAAATAGTGTGGACAAGAGGGGGCACATATACAGTACCAATTATTTGGGAAAGTATTTTTAGTTTGCTTAGTTTAGTTTGTTTTAATTACAAAAGAACAACATATCATTTTTTTATTTACAATAAATTTGTTCATAGTCTACTATTTCCGTAAGTTATTTTCATCTTTTTCACTCTTATTTTATTTTCCTGATTTATTCCTATTTAAGGGGTGGCAATGTAAGATGACATAATGAGTAGAATAACTGATTCTCTGACACTCAAGACACTTCTATTTTTGCTGACCAAAATACAGGACTAAACTACTATAGATAGTTTTCACTTATCAAGCCACAATAAGGACCAGCAACTCTGTCACTATGAGGTGTGGTCATTAAGCGTGATGCCATGTGACCGCACTAACTTATGTCAGTTATGGCTATAGTTGTTAAGCAAATCACTGCAGGTCATTAAGAATGATGTCACATGACCACAATTTACGACTTCTCACTGGCTTCCCTGCTGGCTTTGCTTGTCGGAAGCCAGCTGTGAATGTCACAAGCACCAATCACATGAGCATGGGGGGTGCTGTAACTGTCATAAATGCATTTGCATCACTTCTCAAGTGCCTGAATCATGAACATATCAGTGCAAGGATGCTGCAACTGTTGTTTTTCAGCACTGTTGTAAATTCAAACATTGAACAAGTGGTTTGTGAGCGAGACCTGCCTGTATTTAGCCTCACAGTTGAAAAATTGCAATAGTGTAGCATTATCTCTATTATTAAGGCCATCCATATAAAACCACATAGTTTTTATGCTCAGCTGTACACATGTCTATATAGTAAATCTCTTCATAAGATTATCCATGATCAACTTGAATATTTAGCTCTACTTTTACATCTCAAGGAAATTAAAGATATTTATAAATCTATTGAAACCAGAAAAGTTTCCAGTACAAATCATTTCCCACTGGGTGGCATAAGACATGTACTACTTTGCTTTTTTCTTATTGGCATTTTATAATGTTGCTTTTTAAAACCAGGCTTTTGCTACCCCCTTTAGTGATTTTTTACCATTTCCTTTTAAATACAAAACTATTGATAGCAACTCTAGCAAGTAGCTCCAGAAAATTGTACTTCTGACTATTCATTTTGCACAATGTGGTTTGACAAAAGATGAAGTTTAATAGATTATTAATTGACATTCTGAATGCATATTCAAAACTACTAAAATCCCTAGAATAGCCTTGCTAGATGCAGAAATGGTCTTTGCTATGGTGCATTAGAAATTTTTGAAACTCATTACAGATTATTTATTTATTATTATTTAGTACTCTACTTTTGCTGCAGATAGTAAAATGAAAATTTCTCTTATTTTGTAAAACTGCTTCATGGAAATCAAAGGCATCCTTTATTCCTTCTTATTTTTAAACTAATATTGGATATTGGTGTTTTTTTTCTCTTTTGTGAAATCATGAACAAATAAACTACAATAGGGTGACCTGCCGAAATAGCTGCTGAATCTATTTTTCTTTTCTTCTCTATGTCTCAAGGCAGTAACAGTCTTCGATTTAATATCCATAAGTTTTATGTTTTATAAACAGAAGTTCTATAAATAAAAATTCAATATCCTTAAATTTTAAGTCTTATAAATAAAAAGTCCAGTATGTTTAAAAGTATGAATCTACTCAGAAATTGGAATTCAGCACCAATAATTATATACTTAAAACTTCTTACTATAACATTAATTATGTTTCTATCAAATATGAGGGATAGCCAAAGAGATTATTCTGCAAACCTGGAAGAAAATAATCCTTTTTTAATAAAGAATGTCAGATTCTGGGATTTGTTGTTTACAGAGAAATTCCAGGTAATGAAACAGTAGAAGAGACACCGATTACTCCATGGCTGCTGGAGGACAATGAAGAGAACATCAGACTGAACATTGATTTGAGCCTCTATTAAGGACTACCTTGCAGTGATAAGGATGGCCAAACATTCTTATTTTTTTCACCTTTATCACTAGGTAGTCATGTAGCAGCCATCTCTAGGGTGACACTGTCCTGGGAAAGGAAGAAAAAGGTGGGGAAAGGCAAAACAAACTGGAGGGAGATGAGAAGTAGAAAATTAAACTGGACAGGGAAGAAGGGGGGAGGGAGAACACCTCTATTTAGGCATTTTAAAACTGATTATATTCACTAAGCAAACAGCTCTACCCAACCAATGGATCTTTAGATTAATCTTCAAAAAATACCCAGCTTTTCTGGAGGGAAGTCTGCAGTCATTTGAATATCCCATCTATTTCATATTTTCAACAGCATTCTTTAATTTCTTTAATGGAATTCTAGATACCCTGCCATCACCATTCACAGGAAATAATGAGTTTAAAAAATCCTTATCTTCCAAACTGATTAATAAGGTAAAAGAAAATATTTATAAACCTCAGTCTCTCCTTGCTACCCATCATTAATATAGTATATCAGATTTTTACAGGTAATTCTAACAAAAGCCTAACTTATCTATTTTTCATGTAGGAAACCTGCAGTTGTTAGGGGGAAAAAACCTGACAGGCAGCTCCAGTGGGGGGGAAATGCATTTTGGCAAGTACAATGAGTTTTTAACACCTAATTTATTCAGTTCCCCAACATATTTGTACCAAAATAATATAATCTTGAATTTCTGACTAGCTCTCAGCTAAAACCAATGTTGTTAAGATAGACAGATAACTGCCTAAGTAAAAACAGAAATGTAAGCATTTTTACCAGATACCTATATATTTATAGGTAGATAAGAGTAATCGCACCCAGGCTAACTATTAGGTTAGCAAGAATGAGACATTCCTACATATATTTTTAAGGGATGTGATTGTTAGAAGTCCTTCTACCTTACTTTGGATATATGAATAGATAATGGTAAAGAGCTGGCAATCTAAGGAAAAACAGTGCTGATTAACTCTATTTCTGATTGTGACCTGAAACAAATATGTTCAACCCGCCAATCCCAACCTCTTTCTGAAGAAATATTTGTTTGTTTGTGTTTTTCACATTTTTGAACTGGTCATCTCCCCAGGGAGGGACTCAAGATGGTGTATAATAAAACGTTAAAATATAAGGACAGTATATAAAATTAAAAAATTAGAACATTTAGAACAGCAGCAGCTTCCAACCTTTTCTATACCCTGCACCCCTAGAAAGCTTCTGATATATTCTTGCACCCCTTACAAAAGTTTGAAATAACAGCAATGAATTATGCATACACATATAATTTTGAAAACTCAAGTTTTCACACCCCCTGGAATATCATCTCGCACCCCCAGGGGGTGCGAGACCCCTGGTTGGGAACCCCTGATTTAGAATGTAAAAGGAGGCTGTTAGAAATTAGTTTAAAAGGCAAAGGGTTCCAACTAGCTCCATGGGGGTCCGTGGTGAAGAAAAGGTTGAGAACCACTGGTTAAGGCATCAGATTATAAACCAAGAGACTGTGGTTTATAATGATAAAGCTACTTCTAGACTGTCCTAGAATGTGAATTCTAGCATCAGATTAAAAAGCAAGACTGTGAATTCTAGTCTTGCCTGAGACATAAAAGGCAGCTTGGTGATTTTGGGCCAGTCACAGTTTTTCAGCCCAACTCCATGTCACAAAGTTTTTATTTGGGAAAACAGGAGAAGAAACAGGGATTAGGTATGTTTGCTGCCTTGAGTTTTTTTATAAAAAAATAATAAAGACAGGATGAAAAAAATCTAAATATTTTTAAAGTGGGTCCTTAAGCAGCATCATGACAAGCCAGAGTAAGAAACCAGGAAATTGTGAGTCATGTTCCACCTCGTTCCACTGTTTTTTTAAAAAAGACTCTATCTATAAAGGCTGATCAACATGGCCAGACTGGCAATAATCAGTCAGGGTTTTATTTTAGGAATTCTATAGGGATAGATTCCAGCCCAGTATTTATTTCATTAGTGCAATAAATTTGATA